GGTTCTGGGGTGTTTCTAACACTGTCTCACCTGCAGGAAGTCACATGCTGGCTGCTGGCACTTCTGCTCCATCTCATTGATCAGGGAACTGAAAGAGGATAGTTCCTCAGATACTTTGGCAACATACTCATCCCTCCTCTTTTCAATTTCCTTATTCAGCTCTTCCAACTGGGCCAGCAGGAGTCGCTCTTGTTCCTCCAGAAACTGGCGCAGTTGCTGAAATTCAGCCACAATCTTCTGCCTCTCAGTTTCCAGCTGTTTCTGAAATGAAGAGATACAAACAGGGAAAGCACAAGTCAAGGTCAGGAACACCGAGTGAGTTATGGGACATTTTGTAAAGCCTTATGTATGCACATGGGAGCATGTCATTGCAACCCCAGAGAATTTAACTCCTGATATTTTATGGAGAACAAATGCTATGCTCAATAGACGTTTTCCCAATGAATTCTGAAGAATCCTAACGGGTGTTTAGAATATGAATGTATCTTGCATTATTAGGATATTCTGTTATCAGTGGCGTCTACAAAACAAGAACCTTCAAACAACAGAAAGTACAGCAGGTGCGGGATCCAGAACTGGACAGGCCAGAGTTACGTCTGGGGAGCAAACAGTAGAACCCAAACTCAGAAGCCCTTGACTTGAATTGGGGAACAGAGGCTCTCCACAAAACACACCTAGATGAACAGGGCCATGTTTCTAAAACAGGCTTTAAAATTAGAGCACCAACAATTGCTCTGACAAGTTTTGAATGCACAGGTTAGGATACAAACATTTTGTCACGTCATAAATCTCCAATTTTAATCCACAGAGGTATTCTGAGCACAAATTGGGTGGCTGGCAAGACACCTTTTTGCAGGTTCAAATCTGAGTTTGCAGGGCACTTAGAAACATGTGCATATGAACTGGACACAAACCCACCAATTCATGCTCTTTCTGGAGCGGTCTAGCTCCTGATACCCCAGGAGCAAGAAACTTACATCATATTTAGAACCCAAATCTTCATGGCAACGTCTTGCAGCGATATCACTAGGGGCTGTTCCAAAGCTCACCACAATCAATAGGAGTCTTTCCAATGACTTCAGTAGGATTTGGTGAGGTGTTAAGTGACCAGCCGTCCCTGGGGCAGCAGATTTCTCTAGTGGCTGCCCGCGCTATTCTGTTGTGGTTATTGTTCGAGGCTTTTCCCTTAGCCCCACCCCTGGTTCTTGTCACGCAGACAGAGAGCAGAAGACCAAAAGTCCGAAGCGCAGGCAATGCGATGTTTGCTGGGGTTAGTTCCAAGCAAGCATGTCCATAGCTCTACATGCCAGCAGAGACTTTACCCCACGTCTCCCTTCCCAGTTCTGAGCCTTGGCTGTTTCCCCGTTACCCATTTCCTCCTTCTTAGCATGTCCAAATATACCTGCAGTGCGCGCCCCTAGTCACATCCCTTACAACTTATGGGCATGTTCTGTTCTGGAGGGTCGGGAGTCTGGGGTCTTCATCCCACCTCTTCTGTACCCCAGGGGAGGGTGAGGAGTAAGGTTGTGGCCTGGCCAAGGCCAGGATTTTCTTTGCTTTTTAGTATTTCTTATGCCTCCCCAATCCCCATTTGCCCCTCCTAATTGGTTGCTTGACCTTGGCTTGAGAGAGGAGCCAGGCAGCCTTCCCGTGTGTGCTCATATATTTTTATTATACCCCCACCATACCCTGTAACACTTTCTCTGTTCTTATCTGTTCCCATTATACTAACAAACCCATCTGGCCAGGCAGAAGCAACACACAGTGTCGTTGTCCTTTGTTCTTCACACACATTAGTAAAGATGTATGAATATCAAAAGTCAAACCCAAAATTCTATCTCAGGTTAACAAACAGGCTTATATGCGAACAGTTCTGTCTGTTGAAAGTAAAGCCAAAAATGGGGGAGGAATTCGCAAAAAAAAAAAAAATTGAAATTTCAAAGTTGTTTCCATTTTCAGTGTTCAAAATGGGACTTTTAGTTTGTTTGAAAAATATCATGAAATAACTTGAAAAAAATTCACATTTCTGTTTCCCCTTTTTCCTAAAATGTAATAAAATAATGTCCATTTCCACCACCGCCCCATTTGTTCCCTTTATTCCATTCTCTCCGGAATGCTTCAAAAGTTCTCCATTTTAGAAACATTGGCAAAAGGAAAAATTAAAATCTAGGAGAAAAAACCTGGAAATTATTCATGTTATTGTATTCAGTGGCAAAATGGAGGAAATGGGGAAACAAAGGAATAAAAAACATTTGAAATTTTGAAAAAAATGTCAGCTTTTTAAAACCAAAATGAAAACTTCAATTTGAAATGAAAATAAACATTTTTGTTCATTCTGAAATTTCCTGTCAAAAAACTGATTTTTATTTATTTATTTGCAAAAGACAGTTTCCCATGGAAAAAATTGTTTTCTACTAAATCCCATTTTCCTACAGGACATTTTTGTGGTTGAATTTTGACCAGCTCTAGCTGAAAGATAAAGGAGAAACTACTGTTAGCTAAACAAATTACACTCACATTATCAATGGAAATATCTGGATTATTAAAACTCTTTCCTTAATGCTCCATTTTCCTGTTTATACTCAATTAAAGCAGAACAGTTTTTCTTTCCAATGAGAATAAATAAGTAACAATCTTTCATGGAAGAGAAGATGTTGCTAAATGTTCTTCTTCTGTTAGACTAAGCAGAGTATCAATAATGTCCCTGCGCACATTTGTCTCTGAGTAAGAACGGCACCTACCAGCAGTTCCTGGCTTGTATTTTCCCCACTCGATTTATACAACAGAATCTCGTCTCTCTCTTTCTTCAAAATCTCCAAACGGCTCCGAATTTGTTCCTAACAAAAGAAAAACTGGTTTAGTTTCAGTTGATTTTGGAGGCTTTCCCCCGTTTTATTTTTATTTTCAGGAATATTAAATGCATAATAAAATGGGTGAGTGCTCCAGCCACATGACTATAGAGTCATTCTCATGCTTGCAGTCTCTCTCTCTCTCTCTCTCCTGCAAATGACTCTCTAAGTATTCATCCCCAGTGGAACAGCTTCAGCAAGAGAGATGGAAGGAGCCCCACCTCAGAATATTCCATAGCGAGGTGGCAGATCCCTGTTCAAATCCCTTCTCCTCATCACACGGAAGAGGGACTTGAACCTGTGGTCTCCCATCTCCCAGGTGAGTGCTCTGAACACTGGGCTAAAGACGATGAGGGAGAGCGTTCTGTGAGTGAACTCATCTGAGGGGCCTCAGGCCACCTACCAGCTTAGGCCCCACACAGGTGTTAGGTGGCCTAAGGCTGATCCTCCCTAGGGTTAGGTGGGAGACCGGCATCGAGATGCCTTGAGCGAGGCAGCAGTGCGCATGGCCAGGGGCAGAAACACAGGTGCTGAGGGAACTAGTTACTGAAAACACAGAGGCCGAGGGAGTTTAGGCACCGACAGGGCTCAGCAGGAGTTTTGTGAATGGCAGTGGAGGCTCAAATTGGGGTTTAGGTGCCTAAGTAAATACTGTGAATCGAGGCCTCACTGACAGGGAAATTGAGATAAGGACGGGGCTGGCCTGAGGCTTCACTTCCTCACTTCACACGTGTTCACTCTGCTCATGTGCACTGTGAATTTTCTGAGCAGTCTCCGAACCACACTGTCACCCAGGGCATGTTTTGATACATCACCGGCCTTGGCATTTCTAAGTGGGCCTGAGAAATAATCTTCCCCCTCCCCCTACGCACAACCAATTCCAGACGCCCCCACTAAGACTGGGATTGCCGGAGAATGTAGGGGAGAGTCAGTGAGATGAGTCACTGGGACACCGTCCAAACAGAACTAACCCAGTGACACACAGAAACTGGGGGCATGTGGCAGCTTTCATTCTTCTTTACTCCCAGCCTCCCACCCAAAAAGTGCAGCCGAGCTGCTTGATCCTTGCAACCAGAGCGATTAATGTACATCTGTTACATTTTCAAGCCTCCCTGCTATAAAAGGTATTTAACGTGTCTTGGTTTTTATTATGAAGAGGGACGAGAAGGAGAAAGGGGGGTGTTGCTTGGCTGAGGAGGAAAAGATGGTAAGAAATGGACATAATTCTTTCCCAGTTGCCAAAGCCGGTGTGTTCTCCTCCCTGATCCTCCACCTCCTTCCCCCCAGATAACAGGACCCTGGATC